CCCCCCCCCCCCCCCCCCCCCCCCCCAAAAAACCCCCCCCCCCCCCCCCCCCCCAACCCCTACCGTATCGAAGCGGACTCAGCCCACAGCGGCGGTCTCCTTCTGATCTTTCCCTAAACCCTAAACACTAAACCCTAAACCCTAAACCCTAAACCCTAACCCCTAAACCCTAAACCCTAAACCCTAACCCCTAAACCCTAAACCCCATTGCTGAGGCGCAGGTTCAGGCACTCATTTTCCCCGTCATCGTCTCCATCCCCAGGCTTTGCCACCTCCAGCTCCTGCGCACTCTTTCCCAGAGACTCCAAAACCCCTTAATTAAGGAATATCACCTAAATTATAATAGGAACCCTAATATGATTTAATATATATATATATATATGTATATGTATGTATATACATGTTCCTTATTTAAGGGGTTTAATAATCGGAATCCTAATATGATCTAAGGTATATTCCTTAATTAAGGGGTTTTGGAGCTTCCGGGTTCTCTGCACCGTTCTTCACCTTGTCTCTCAAGGCCCCCCCACACGTTGCTTTGCCTGGCTTTGTCTGGCCGGAAGTGATTTCTCATTCCATCTCTCCTCATCTGCGTTGGTTCTGGCGATTCGGGTTCGAGGTTTAGGGTTTACAGAGTGTTTATTGGCTTGGGTTTGGGAGGGTTGACGTTCGCTAGCGATTTGGATTGACGTTCCGGGTTGGGAGTTCAGGTTGTAGGGCTGTAAGGTTACAATTTCAGGGTGTAGGGCCGTAAGCTTCTTTTCTGTTGATTTTGGGGTTTGCTGTCACTGTCCAAGGTTTAGCTTTAGGGTTTTTGCCCGGGGCCGGGATCGAAAATGCAGCCCCTTGAAACCCTCAAGGAATGATACTGGATCATACGCTACACATTGTCATCCCCTTTCACAGGCTGGAGCTTGAAATATGGAAGGAAGCTCAGAATCTGGATGCGTGTGGCAAGTTCTAGGTGTCGAAGGGTTAAGGGCAGAGGCTTCCGAACTTTCAGCTTCTTAAGTGTTACCCCTAAACCCTAAACCCTAAACCCTAAACCCTACAAAGCTAGGACTTGCAGTTGAACGAATATCGCCGCATGCTGAATTTTGAGGAGATGCAGTCGAGTCGATCTCCTTCTGCAACAACCGGAACGTCTCAAACAACGCCAGTATTTAGATACCCTAAACCCCAAACCCCAAACCCTAAACCCCAAACCCCAAACCCCAAAACCCTAAACCCTAAACCCTAAACCCTAAACCCTAAGCCCTAAACCCTAAACCCTAAACCCTGACCCCAATTGCTGTTGAGACTCAAAGGTAGACTGCACCCTCTCAGCACATTGCACAAGTACAAGTACCGGCGGACCGTACAGAAGCTGCCTCTTCTAGGTTTCACCGTTGCGTGTCTTGTGTGTTGCCCCATCCAAGCAAAATCCCCCTCTGCAGCACACATCGGATGCTGAAGACCTTTTTGGTTTCTAAAGGTCGCGATGTGCTGATCTCCAGCCTTGCCTGGTCCACCGGGTTGCTTGGATTTAGAGTCACGCTCGTACATGGGTCTGGAGTCTCAGTTTTCGAGGGGTTGCTGCAAATAGTTTTGGCTTCGCGTTTTTGCTTCGGGGCTTTGGAGGTTAAAGCCCAGGGTTTTCACGAGGGGGGGTCTCTGCCGTCCCACGACCGAAGCTGTCCTCATTTACGCCTCATTTGCGATTCAGAACTGAAGGGGTGTATGGGGTTGAATGGGAGAGCGAGCTGTGGGCTATTGCCTTCGCGACTGGCATCTGTCTGCCCCTGATCGGCCCTCGTTGGACCTGCTTCGTACTGGATTTGGGTTCAGGGCTCAGAGTTTTGGGGCGGACAACCCTAAACCCTAAACCCTAAACCCTAAACCCTAAACCCTAAACCCTAAACCCTAAACCCTAAACCCTAAACCCTAAACCCTAAACCCTAAACCCTAAACCCTAAACCCTAAACCCTAAACCCTAATTCATCGCAAGCGAGATCTTGTTTTTTTAGCTATCAGTGCCTTTGTTCAGCCGCGAGGCCCCTGGAGTCTGAGCGCAGCTGCCATCGCCTATTCGACCCTTTGCCTGTGGACAGTACAGATGCCAAAGCGGCTTTCTAGGGTTTAGGGTTCAGGGTTTAGGGTTTAGGGTTTAGGGTTTAGGGCCTTATGAGCTGGGATGTTGCCCCTCATACTAGCAGCCCTGAGTGGGGATGATAATCGGGGGTACTATACTCCCTATTCAGGACTGCTAGGATAAGGGGAACATCCCAACTTAGGAGCCTTGAAATCTTGATCCAGTTCACGGTTGAATCTGAAAAGAGCCGTGGTGGCAGAGGAGATGAGGTGTGATTTGTGACGTCAATGTGAAGACACGCGCAGCGAGAATCGCAAGTGTCACTGCTGCCCATTGTAGATCGGAGGGATTATTCTGACAGGTGTTTTCTTTCACTACCGTTTAGAGTATGGCACTTTCTGGAAAGATGGCCCGCAATCTTCCAGGTTGCCAAAGCTAAAAATCTGGAAAAAACTCAGCAATCACAGGTTTAAGATTAAGACCCTATGCAAACAACTTTAGCATCGGCAAACCCTAAACCCCTAAACCCTGAACCCTAATTGACAGGTGGTCATTTGCCTACAGGTTTCCAGCTTGCCAAACTCCGACAAACTAGATCCCAAACCCGAAATCCCGCAGCAAGGACAATTCCCAAATGCGCAACTTAGAGTCTTAGCCCAATCCTGCACAGCTTGAAGTACCTAAACCCTACACCCTACACCCTAAACCCTAAACCCTAAACTTTAAAACCCTCACAGAGGATTTCTTGGAGAAAGAGTGGCCACGGCTCGGGCTATCGACACCAGTTTACACTGTGGTGCCGCGGTGGCAGGTCATGTTTAGGGTTTAGGGTTTTAGGGTTTTAGGGTTTAGGGATTTAGGGATTTAGGGATTTAGGGTTTAGGGTTTAGGGTTTAGGGTTTAGACCATCTCACTGTGCCTGTGATTTGTCTTGGTGGTGGGAGCTGAGTTGGGTCGAAGCTTCAGGCACTTAAATATGGGGTAACTACAAGTATTTCCATGGAAGTAAATTCCCTGGGAGTTTGGATTCTGAACACCACAACTTTTTTTTTGCTTGTTCGCCTAAGCCAACATAGGACTAACATGTGCTTTAGGTTCCCTAAACCCTAAACCCTAAACCCTAAACCCTAAACCCTAAACCCTAAACCCTAAACCCTAAACCCTAAACCCTAAACCCTAAACCCTAAACCCTAAACCCTAAACCCTAAACCCAGTCTAGGTCGACTCTAGTTTGCTTGTTAGCTTTCCATTGATCTACGGCCGTTGCAAATCATCATCTCAGCACGTTTGCCGGAGAACCCTCTTGCCGCAGGACCCTCCACTTCCGGTGTGAGCGTCGCACCCTAAACCCTAAACCCTAAACCCTAAACCCTAAACCCTAAACCCTAAACCCTAAACCCTAAACCCTAAACCCTAAACCCTAAACCCTAAACCCTAAACCCAAAACCCGTCGCTTATAATCCCCCACACCAAAAGTCACCAACAGAGCACCCCGCAGCCGACCTGTGTGGAAACTTCGTAGCCGGAAGAGAGCCCCGCAGTTCCAGGCCACTACTTCAGCAATTGGCCCTCGCGCGGCGTTTAAAGTTTAAAGTTTGTTTAGGGTTTAGGGTTTAGGGTTTAGGGTTTAGGGTTTAGGGTTGAGGGTTTAGGGTTTAGGGTTTAGCGTTTAGGGTTTAGGGTTTAGGGTTTCGGGTTTTTACTCGCTTCAGTTGTACAGGGCTGGTTGCGTAGTTGCTTCACCAAATCTCAGAGTTGACAGCCTAACCGTTCTGGGCACCCCTTGGACCTTGCACCTAAACCCTAAACCCTAAACCCTAAACCCCTAAACCCATTGAGGAGCTGGGTTCCGGAACTGGCTGGCTTGGCATGAGCCTGGCGCGCAACTTAGTGGCAATGCCCAGCCGCCTGGACTCCAGAAACTTCATGATCATAAGCTTAGGGTTTTGGGTTTAGGGTTTAGGGTTTAGGGTTAAACGAAGTCAAATTTCAACGGGGCATGTAAGGAAGTGGTTTCACCCTGCTCACGGAGCGGCGTGGAGACGCAATGGCGAAGCTTGGCAGAAAGTAGTCGGCGCACATCTCGCTCGCTGTCGTCATGTTTGGTGTTCATGATGTACCTTCGAGAGTCCATGACACGATATCAGCGCCGGTCCAGAGCATCCCTTCCCCACATCATCCCTTCGCTTGGATAAGAACGTCTGCACTACCGGAGCATTGCCAGAGCAGCTCATGTTTTTTGTTTTTTTTTTTTTTTTGGGGGGGGGGGGGGGGGGGGTGAAGCTCCTGACTGAGCTTGTTCTGACGTTCGTCCAGATTGCCTTTACGCGTGCGCCTATTTTGAAAATTACTGTCGGTCGTTCGCCGGAAAACTTCGTCTTCACAACAGCGATGTTTTTGAGACATGCGAATCGACGAAAAGCAACGAAAAGCCGGGAGCATTCAGCAAGCGGACCAGAAAAGTGCACGGCTAGACAAGTGCGCCGAAGTGAGTTCTCATTCAGGCAGACCGTGTGCATGAGGGTATAATAATCAACACACAGTCTCTGTTACTGCAGCAGCATCGGTGCTGAGTATGAGTACTTGTAGAGACAGTGCTCAGGAACTACCGCAGTCCACCGGACGGAGCGTGTCATCTTTGGTTTCCTGTTGGTTTGTAGGGAATGGGGGAATAAGGTACCACATATCCCCCATATATACCCTTAAGGGATTATACATGGTACCAGTAAGTTGGGACAGCTTCTGGCCGAGGTTCTTGATGAAGAACATCGAGTTCAACATTGCCGAGGGCTTGCCACTGGAAGATCTGACGCTTGACGTGCCCAGCCCAAGCTTGCCCCCCAAGCCGTTCTTCTTTGGCTCAAGTTGAGCTGGTATAGCCTTAACCCTAGAGCTTACAGGGCCGAACATACGCCAAGTATGTGCAAGGCTTGCTGCTGCGGCCTTCTAATACCAAGGTAGCAAAGATGGTGTTCTCTGAGCACTGCAGACAGCAAGACTTGAACTGCCTAAGTGCCAATGTGTCTATCGCTCATCCCTGGGTTTCGGGCTTGAAGACAAAGGCTCACCCTCGAACCTTCTCCGCCAAGTTGTCAAGGTCTCCAGGGTTTTTTTTCTCCTTGCAAGACACTGTCTCATGTTTCGGGTTTAGGGTTTAGGGTTTAGGGGAAATCATGTACAGACTCTTGGTACCCCCACGTGCCTCAGGAGGGCAGACATCCTGGACTGGTCAGATTGGGAGGCTGCGTTGTGGATCAGCCAGGGTTCAGGGTTCAGGGTTTAGGGTTTAGCACACACAACGGCCAACCGATCCTACCGAGGGGGTCCGAAACAACCACAGAAGCACTCAAATCGATATAGGATCACCCGAAAGTCAAAAAACGCGCCCTGGGTGTGACATGTGCATGCACCTGCACGAGTTCTCTGCCTCGAAAGTAAGCCTAAGTGCTTCAACCTTGTCCAGGTTGTTGTCCAGGTTGCAGCCACGTCCCATGGCCTAGGGAGATGCCTCAGGCTAGGATAAACCCTAAACCCTAAACCCTAAACCCTGAACCCTGAACCCTGAACCCTGAACCCTGAACCCTGAACCCTGAACCCTAAACCCTAAACCCTCTTTGGTACCCCCTGACAGGGAAGTGCGACACCTCCGGAGTCCTTGGTGACAGAGTCGGTGCAGGACCGAGGGCAGTGCTGGAACACGGAATGCGAAGCTGTAGGACCAGCCATAAGCCCACGCAAAGTCCGTCCCTGAGCCCTGAAGCTCTTGCCGTTACCCCTCATTGGGCGGAGGGCTCCGAGCCCTTGTAGGGTCCTTGGCGGCAGGATTTCGACCTTGTCCTCGGCTCGGACTTGGCATACAGCCAGCACCGAAGCTCAAATTCGACAGGCAGTACACGGAGCTCGTGTAGCACCCCCCACCCCCACACCCCATCCCACCCCGTCCCGCCCCGTCCCACCCCATCCAAACCTCGGTCGTGGCTTGAAGGTTTCCAGGCTGATGGCGGGCATCCGTTTGGTTTGTAATGGGTCTCCTCCACACGTGGACAGCACACATTGGGATGTTCCCCCTTATACTAAGCACTCCTTAATGGGGATGATAGTACCCCCTATGATACTCCCCATTCAGGACTGGCAGTAATGAGGGGAACATCCCAGATCATACCCATTTCTCTGTTCTGGTTTGGGTTTGGTAGTCTTCCCCTCAGTATTTTGAGCGGTGCCCTTCTCGCCGAGATGCTCTCGAGTTTTAGGGCTTTCGATTTAAAGCGCTGGATGTAAGGTTTAGGGCTCAGATTGTTTCAAGGACTAGGTTGGGGATGCACTTGTTGGGGCGCTTGAATCGCTCATTGTCGCGAAACGTAACCGTAGCAGGGATGCACCTTCCTGTCTCCCGGGTTAGATTTTGGCTTCGTTGCATCTAGACTCTTGTACAACTGCAGCGTGCTCGCAGTTGCAGAATTCGCACCTCCACCTCGGTCACACTTGCCAAATGCAATCAGCTGTCACTCTTGGGCCCTGGGGATTGGGTCTTGGTATGCTCTTGGGGTTCCCGTAAGGGTTCGGCAGAGGCCTTGCGCCCAGGTCGTGCGTTGCCATGTTGGTGGACGTGCTTCGCTGGTTCCTGTCGCAGAAACCACAGTTAATGGTGCTGTTGGCACATCGGCTACTGGACTGCACAAGGCGACCTCAGAGCACCTTTGGGCCTGTAGGCACCCTAAACCCTAAACCCTAAACCCTAAACCCTAAACCCTAAACCCTAAACCCTAAACCCTAAACCCTAAACACTGAACCCTGAACCCTGAAACCCTAAACCCTAAACCCTAAACCCCAAAATCGTGAGGCCCGTCTGGAGTGCGAACTGCCAAGCTTTGACTCCCAGAAGCAAAATCTTCAATATAATGTAATATGGGCATTTCCCAAAATAGGGGTGCCCCTTTTATACCCCAACGAGAATAGATTCCCCTTAAAGGGACCCCCGAAAAGGGTACCCCTATTTTCGGAAACCCTAAACCCTAAACCCTAAACCCTAAACCCTAAACCCTAAACCCTAAACCCTAAACCCTAAACCCTAAACCCTAAACCCTAAACCCTAAACCCCCGCCCCCCCGGATGAGATCCCAACCCCAAGGCCCTAACCCTCATCACCGAGGCTCCGCCGAAAGCCTGAGGTCGACACGGCCTTCTTCCAGGCAACGGTTTGGGTTTAGGGTTTAGGGTTTTAGGGTTTAGGGTTTAGGGTTTAGGGTTTAGGGTTTAGGGTTTGGGGTTTAGGGTTTAGGGTTTGGGGTTTAGGGTTTAGGGTTTAGGGTGGATGGAAGCAAGGGAGGAGCTCCTTGGAGCTTTAAGCCATTAGATTACTGTGCGGAGGGCCTCCGCGAAGTTTAGAGCTAGAGTTTCATTATTTGTGCATGTTTAATAGCTTATGGCTCATGGATGTGACATACAAAGTGCCGTTCCTTTTGAGGGGTTGTAAGTGTTATGTCGCTCAGGGCTCTCGCAATCACTCTGCACGCCTAAAGTACTATAGGATCGGCCTAAACCCTTGACGGGCGATCCCGAGAATGACATTTCTTGCAGGCATGTGCCATTCGCAAAGTATGGGGCACTGCTGTTTTCAATCTTGGGGGTTCGAGGCTTCCTGTCAAGAGGCGTTTACAAGCCCCAACAGGTGGTAGGATGAGGTTTAGGGACAAGCTCTAGGAGCCCTGAACCACAGAAGCGGATGCGTTGCCCAAGGAAATATAGGTACGGAGGACGGGTGGAAACCAAGAAGTGTGCTGGATACTTCGCCCCTCTGTTCCATGACAGGAACTCCTCAAGAAGGGCCTGGACTACAATGCTGTGGCTGCAGAAGCAGCTCGGCTTCAACATCCTTGCTTTACCGAAATCCCACGAGCCCGTAGCGGGTTTGGTCCGGCCGTGTGGAAGGACTAGCTCGAAGGTCATGTGGGTCACTGGCCTGCGTGGGTCACGCCAGTGTGGGCTACTAGCCCGCGCCCGGTTCCAGGCCAGCTGGTGCCTGAAGGTCATGTGGGACACCTGGTTTGGGCCCTAAACCCTTAACCCTAAATCCTAAGTCCTAAACCCTAAACCCTAAACCCTAAACCCTAAACCCTAAACCCGCATCCTTTGGAGCCCGGCTTGAGGCCAGCTGGTGCTTCAAGGTCGAGTGGTTCGCTGAGTTGGGTGAAAAGTCGCAAATTTGGGGCAAAGTCGCCCTGCAGGATTGTCATTCCAAGAGGGTTTAGGGTTTAGGGTTTCGGGTAAGGCTCCTGCAAATGTTCGATACGATTCATGATTGGGGTTTTGCTGCTGCTGCCGCTGGTGGATCTGGGCGAGGTGTCTATGCAGGTGCAGGAATGGGGATTTGAATGCAATGCAGGATGCAGGCACTTAGCAGCAAGAAATTTGATTTTGACCGGAGGGTTGACGTGATACTTGGGCCATACGTTCTGCTGAAATACTTGACTATTCCCCTAGGTGTTGCGTTCCTCATCACAGAAGACAGCCCACATGGCCTGACTGGTGGGAGACTAGCCTTTGGTCAGTGCTTCAAGGCCGTGCAGGACACTAGTCCGCGCTTGCGTCAGCTTATGCTTGAGGCCGTGTGGGACAGCAGCCAGTTCCTCTCAGGTTCAGTTCATGCTGCAAAAGAGTTGCCCGCTCCAGCTTCAATGCGGGACATAGCCCGCGGGCCGACGCCGTGCGGGTGCCCGAATGCCGCGTGGGACAGGTCCAGGTCGGCTCAAGCTTTAGCTTGAGGGCCGTGCCTGAAGGCCGCGCAGGGCACTAGCTACGTGTAGCCTCCGTGGGCTTTTGAAATGGCGATAACGCTTGGATGAAGGCTGTTGCACGTCCCGACTGGAGCGAGTGCCTGAAAGTTGCGCAGGACGTTGGTCTGATGACCGAAACCCGTGTGGGACAGTGGCCCGCGCCGGCTTCAGTTGGTGTTGGAATCACCGAGTAGGACATTGGCCCATGCCGGCATCAGCTGCTGCTTGCAGGCAGCGCAGGACACTGGCCATCACTAGCCGCCCGGGCTGGATTTAACTGGTGTTTGAGGCAGGACACTAATCTGTGCCGGGTTCAGCTGGTGTTTGAAGGCCATGGGGGCAAGCCCTCGCGGGACCAGCCCGCATCCGCCTTCTGACCATGCAGCTGGTGCATGAAGGTCCTGGTGGGACGCGAGGCTCCGCCGGATTTGGCCAACTCGCGCAGGAAGGCCGTGTAGGACTCCCAAGAAGTCCGCCCCGGGGTTGAAACCGCCTGGAACAACTTAAAACGGCTCAGTGGGGCAATGGCACGCAAACATTCTTCTGCAAGCTCTCGAAGCCTAAGCGCCGCTCCTCCAGGGCCACCACAGCAAGGACAAGGAGTTGGACCCGCTGATTCCAGGCCACGGTGGCTTATCTAGCTGGGGCTTTTTGGGGTTTAGGGTTTAGGGTTTAGGGTGTAGGGTTTAGGGTTTAGGGCTTTTTGGGGTTTAGGGTTTAGGGTTTAGGGTTTGGGCTGGTTGGTGGTGTGGTATGGGAGGTGATGGGGCTTCAATAAGGTCGATTGGAGGACTTGATGTTTGGATGTGGGCTGGTGAGGCAGTGCTTGGCTATATCACTCTGATCAATGCTTTTGTGCGAAGCGGTGTTCTCCTTGTTAGTTTTGTGTTATTTCTTAGGTGTTCTCTCCGATTTCTGGTTTCGCCTTGGGTAGACTAGCAAATAGCATCAAACTCAATATCGGTGATGGGACATGACTTTGCACGCATCTGATTTGATTTTTCGTGTTGCCATGACTTCTTCCGTGATGCAAATTGCAAACTCACCCTAAACCCTAAACCCTAAACCCCAAGTAAACCCTAAACCCCTATTTGTAGCTTCGGCTGATGGAGGCTCACAGTACCTGACGGCCCGTCTCGCCCAGCAACAATCGATCGTTCGAGTCTAGCTCTCTCTGCGACTTGTTTCTTGGTTTTCCTTGGTTTTTTGGCTTCAGAAGGGTTCTGTATTCCTTTTTGTTTCTTGGTTTTATTCGTTTTTTGGCTTCGGAAGGGTTCTGTATTCCTTGGTACGCGGGCTGAAACACGCGGTGACGTCGGTCCCCTCCTTGTTGCTTCCAACACCTGCTGCAGCTGAGTTCGATCGTAGTTTCATGTCGCAATAATGTAGTGCTATCTCAGTCGGAGCACCGACGTTGCTCTACCGACCACGCCCCCAAATGCGAGAGCCCCTACCCCCAAAACAACAAAAAATGCTCACCCTGAACCCTAAACCCTAAACCCTAAACCCTAAACCCTAAACTCTAAACCCTAAACCCTGAACCCTGAACCCTGAACCCTGAACCCTAAACACCCCCAAAAAAACCAAAACCAAAAAACAATGCTCTGACAGATCCTGGGTGGACTGCGGAAGGTAACTTTGGACGTGCCAGCCTGAGTAAAGGTCGGGTGGAATGGGTTTGTGTGTGTCCAGTCTTGCTGGGTTTATTGGGTTGTGTTCTGCTGGGCTTTCTATGGCCGGGTCTTCTTCAATGAGCGTTGAAAGACTGCATGGGGTTTTGATGCTGTTGCGAGTGTTTTTGAGGCCGTCTCTTGCACGCAGCCACGGTTATTACTCGTCAATTCAGCCGACTTTCTTTTCAAGGTCTTTTCAAGGTCCTTTCTGGCGGTTCCATCCCTGATGCCTTGGTTCAGATTCATGCCCATCTGTCACCCCTGCAAGCTTGCTAAGGATTCTAGGTTTTTCGTTGAAAGTCCTCTCAGAGGACTTTTCTGAGTCGAAGAGCTGTGGAAGGTTCCCAGCTCTTAAGGTAGCTCCACTCAGACTCTATTCCAACTTAAGATGGAATACTAACGCAGTTTCCTGCTACAGTTCTGTACTGCCATTGTCCGGGATTGTGGAGCAGTTTGGTAGTGCCGCGCTGCCCACGCATGCATATTGATCCATTGTCCAATGATAACGTCTGAGCTGACCGAGGCAAGTTTGCTTTTGCCCCTGGTTTGTTGTATACTTGTGTAGCTCGAACCTCCCTCTAAAGGTTTGCGTGAAGCTTTGCGAGCAGAGAACTAGTCACTTTTCTCCACCAACTTTAGATATCCTTCTACGGAGTGCCGCAACGGGCAAGGGATTCTAGAATTCAGACCAGGACTCCACGGCACCCAGCATTCTGGGTAGACTAGTTTCAATGTTTCTTGTAGTTCTTCCTGGTCAATGTAGCTACGGAATGTGCCGCGCCACGGAAGCTCTCAGTAGACTTCGACCCCAGTCTTCGCACTGTCATCTCAGGTGTTGTGGTGTACCAGATCACCTGTGCCTGGCTTCATGAGAGGTTGGAATGGAGTGCTTAGCGTATGACGTGTCGGCATGGAGTTGTACCTAGAATCTAGAAGACTTGCAAGCCACCGGAATGTTTTGAAGTTTTTCGTATGTTGTGTGAAGGGCTTCTACAGGTGGAGTCCAAAGGGTAGACAGCGTTCCACTCTCCACCCTGTCAGCATATCATTCCGAACTCGTTTGGGTCTCAAAGCCTGTGTTCTTTCGAGATGCAAACTCTGAGCATCTTTGGGCTAACAGCTAACAAGTCAGAATTTGATAGCAGTCCACCAGCTTGCTGTAGGGCTGTAGGCTCCTTCGATGCCAACGAAAAGTTTCTTGAAGTCAGGTAATACCAGAATGGGCCGCGGATGATGACATGTGACATGCAATTCATGAGGGGATTTCCACGGCTCAAATGCCCAGGCACGGACCACGACCAGTTCTTATTGCCCTGGAGCGATTGTCTTTCTCACTGAACCTCGGTCCGATCACCAGGAAGGGTTCGCGCACGGGCTTGTTGGCTCGATTTTGCAGTTTCGTGACAAAGCAGGTGTGTTTTGGCTGCTTGTGTAGCGAAGGGTTCGAGGACTAGAGGCACCTCTCTCCGCAAGCTTCTCCAACTGCCAGGTCGACCACTTTGTTGCACGAGCCTGCAAAACCCCCTTTTTTTTCAAGCCCGGACTGATTCCATTTGCGGCACTAACCCTAAACCCTAAACCCTAAACCCTAAACCCTAAACCCTAAACCCTAAACCCTAAACCCTAAACCCCTAAACCCTATTAAGGCATTAAGGCATTAAGGGTATCTGGGGCTGGATCACCTCCGGCATCCATACCACTTTTCCGAACTCTTCTGTGCTGGTCGCTTTCCTGCTCTACATTCATGCGGGTTTCTGATGTTACGTAGGACGAGGATGCGACAAGATGGAGTCCTTTGTTTGAGATGAGAAAGAGCATTCTTCTCGTGCTCTCCGTCTTATTGTTATTGTTCTCTTGCTGACCCAGGTTTTTTTTTCCCCTCTTTTCGGCTTAGAGAACCAACCAAAGATGGGAGCGGACAAAAAGGAGAGTGGTGGAATGGCGGAGCCCCCTCCTGCGGGTATTCCATTTCCCCCCTTTTGTCCAGCAACATCATTCGGAGTGGCTGGGGGCGGTTTTAAGTGTCCACGTGTCCTGCTCATCGAACGTGCTGAAACCCTAAACCCGAAACCCTAAACCCAAGCCCTAAACCCTAAACCCTAACCCTATCCCCTATACCCTATACCCTGTACCCTATACCCTAGGCCTAAACCGTATACCCTAGCTAAACCCTAAACCCTACAAACGCCAAGAGTCTGGTATCCGGGCTTCTTCACAAACTTCGAACACGTCTCCGTGGAACCTCTCAACTTAAGCAATGCAAACCCCAGTCAACTAAAGATGAACTGATAAAGGTCCCAGGGCTATTGCTAAACCGTAAACCCTAAACCCTAAACCCTAAACCCTAAACCCCAAACCCTAAACCCTAAGCCCTAAACTGGCCCTAGACTTGGCCCCTGGACCCCAAGCACCCCTCACCTCGCATCTGAGGGCCCGAGAACGAGCTTTGGTCCTGCTGAGCAGGGTGCCGCATGAAAGCCAGATGGTTCTCAGGGCCTGCCTTCGAATCGATTCTCAGCCCAATCTGCAGCTCATATACCGAGTTTGGCGTCCACCGCGGAAGTTGCAAACTTCAGTTCTAGGATGTGCAGCATGGTACGCTTCTATCGCAAGGCCGGCCCATTGGGATGTTCCCCCTTCTACTCACAGTCCTTAGTAGGGATTCTAGTACCCCCCTATTATAATCCCTCTGAATGGGGAACATTCCCAACCAGTTTGTTTTCAATCGATAGCCTTTTCTTCTGGAATCTTTGCCCACCAGTCTCACTGACAGTTGGAGCACAAAGCTCCTGTTGCCCATGCCGGTGGCAGGGCGGCCGAAACCGGTCTGGGGTTTAGGGTTTAGGGTTTGGGTTTAGGGTTTAGGGTTTAGGGCTTAGGGCTTAGGGCTTAGGGTTTAGGGTTTAGGGCTTGGGGCTTGGGGCTCAGGGCTTAGGGTTTAGGGTTTAGGGTTTAGGGTGAGGGTGTTGTGACTTAGCGGTTTTGGGCTTGGGGTTCGTGCAGGCGCAGTTCAGGGCAAGGGAACTTGTTCTATAGCCGGCTCGGTTCTTGTGTCGGCTTAGCAGTGCAGAATTGGCGGGTGTTAGGGTTGAGGGGCCAGTACAGTAGCCCTAAGCCCATGGGTAAGACGTCAGACTTCGGAGAACTTAGCTCCCAGACCTGATTCTGTCGTTTTCGTGCTGAAGCTCGCACGTGCCATCATCACCGCGGAAAACGTGTGGCGAAGATGCTTTGACAGGGCAGAAACCGGAACCAAACATGTTAATTCCAATTCTGAATCACCCTAAACCCTAAACCCTAAACCTTAAACCCTAAACCCTAAACCCTAAACCCTAAATTCTCACAAGAACAGACGTGTACTTAGGTCGAATATATCGGCTTGCTTGTAGAGAACCATGTGATCAGTGCTGGCTATACACATATGGTACGTATCTCTCGCTCTTTGGAAGGATGTGGGCTGCAAACATGCAACAGTTGGAAAAGCAGCCGTTAGTTTTGGCGCCACACTACATGGTAGGATTTTAAGCTTCCAAGAACGGGGGGGAGGATGGGCGGGGCGGGGTTGGTTGATGGCTCCAACTTTCTGATGATTAGACGCCTGAGCTCCTTGTGCATGCTTTGGAGATGGTATCAGCAGTTGTTAAAGCCGCTGGTTGCTCGGTGTTTACGAACATAGGGGGCCCTTAAAATGGATCCCCGAATAGTAGGATTCCGTGGATGGGACCCCAATCAGCGCGGGTTGAGCCTCCGTGCTTAGGTCGCTGTTCAGCAATGCCGAGTACGACGAAGAAGACAAGGAGGCAGACGTGGTCGGGGAGCCCATGTGCTGCTCCAGCTTGCAAGTTTGGCTGAGAGTCTTAACGGGGGGTCTAAGCGGTTTGTAAGGTCGTTTGGGCCTTTCAAAGATTATGGTCCCTTTTGGGGCCCTAATATAATACGGCACCTAGCACTTAGGGTGTCCAAAAAGGGACCCTAATTTTAACGCTACGCGACCCGCCTCGGCCCGGCCCAGCGCATTTGCGTGAGCATGGTGATTCCGCAGCGCCCAAGTCGCTGGACCCCAAGCAATAAGGGTTGGGTTTAGGGTTTAGGGTTTCCGAGTTTATGGTTTAATTATGGTTTGGGGTTTAGGGTTGAGGGCTAGGCTCAAGGTTCACTTTGGGGTTTAGGGTTTTTTGGGTTTAGGGTTCAAGACGGTTCGGCTGGGGGGCAGGGGGGAAGGGGGGGGGGGCAGGGAGGGGGGGCGGGGGGGGAGGGGGGGGGGGGGGGGGAGGGGAGGGGGGGGGGGAGGGGGGGGCGCTTCAACTGCCTCTGGTCCTGGCGAGCCGTCCGCTTGCGGACCCCGGTTTCCGAGCCGTCCGCTTGCGGACCCCGGTTTCCGAGCGGGGTCTGCCTGTTCTGACACACCTCCGGGCCGAGGCTCGGCGGATTTTGGACAAGCGCCCATGTGAAGCGGCTTACATGCCTTGTTGGCTTTCGGAGCGTTTGGAGCAGGGCCGATCCCACCGATCCGACTTCTGCTCTGGCCGAGGGTGGGTTTAGGCTTCAGGCTTTAGGCTTAAGGCTTCAGGCTTTAGGCTTTAGGCTTAAGGCTTTAGGCTTTAGGCTTTGGGATTTAGGCTTTAGGGTTTAGGGTTTAGGGTTTTCTGAACGCGGTGGTCGTGGCAATTGTTTAAGAACGATAAGACAGGAAATGCTAACATAACAACAGTTGACAATTTTTTGTAGATTGTTTCTCCGGGCAAATTAAGACCTTGCATCTGCAACTCCTGAGCCCTAGAGACCTTACACACGCACATACATATATATATATATATATGTAATAATATAATGTTATATTATATATATATGTGCACACAAGGTCTACGACAAGATCGACGTCAAAATGGACCAAAGGCGACTGAAGCAGCGCGAGAAGAAGATGCGCGAGCAGATCAAGGCTGGGGCAACTCTCGTCCTAAACGACTCCTATATTAGCCTTAGGGTTTAGGGTTTAAGGTTTAGGGTTTAGGGTTTAGGGTTTTAGTTTTTGGGGTGTTCTTAAGTTATTGGTAGTAAAGCAATCGTGCCGTCTTGCGCCAATGCCAGCAACCCGGAGTATCTAGTCGCAGCATAAGAATACTAGATTCAGATGCTGCCTGTCTGAACAAATCCCTGGCTAACGGTGCCTCTTTAGGGTTTAGGGTTTAGGGTTTAGGGTTTAGGGTTTAGGGTTTAGGGTTTAGGGTTTCGGGTTGAATTGGAACCAACGACTGGCGCGACGCGGGCTGCTCCAAGCGTGCGTGCGTTCCGGAAAGGGCCTGGGCCTCAAAGACCTGCATGGGCTATTATACCCTACTAACCCCTTAAAAAGGCCCTTTATAGGGTTGGTTAGAGGGATTATAAGGCCTCATAGCCCATGTTGGGACCTTCTTGAAAGGATGGCTTGTAGCTACTCGAGTTCGCAGAGGATCTCGGCACGGCAGCCTTTGAGGGCCTCTGCGCACACCACGGGTTTGGGGTTTGGGGTTTAGGGTTTAGGGTTTAGGGTTACTACAGCCTTCCAGGACTTCGGTACCACCATAAGTTAGCCGTCAACGACCCAGTGGCCGGAATGACTTGCGGGGCGAAACAGATTTGAGCCCAACTAAGTGGCCTGAGCGGCCTGAGGATCTCTTACTCGTAGCCCAAGCAGCTTCGATTGCAGACATGCCGAACGTCAAGCCCTGACCAGCTAAGTTTGTCTCTTTGCCTTGTTGTCTGGCTTCCGAGATCTCGGGAGCCTCTGAGAAGGGATTGCAAGACCCTATAGGGCGCAGCCCGGACAGTCGAAAGCAAAGTAGGCCCAGAGAGCCTGAGAGGGGAGTTCAAATTCGCGAATTGACCAAATCGGGTCACCTTCATTTTCTCTTGGCCTGACACGCCTCTTCTTGCTAATTGCCACCCTTTGACATATCTTCTTTCTTCAGTTGCCGGCTTTGGGCTCATCATGGAAAACCTGAAGCGTTTGTAAGTACAGAAACTTGACACAACCTCTTTCTCCAGCTGGCGTCTTCTGGGAGAAATCTGAAACTTGAGACACCTTGGCCCAGAAACAGCAGTCGTGCCTCATCCAACCCTAAATCCTAAACCCTAAACCCTAAACCCTAAACCCTAAACCCTAAACCCTAAACCCTAAACCCTAAACCCTAAACCCTAAACCCTAAACCCTAAACCCTAAACCCTAAAAGGTTCAAAAGTGTGAATCTTGGGTTTCGTTGTTCACTCCGCCCTTCTGTTTCCCTTGTCTTTGTGTTTCTCTTGTGTAAGAATTCGAAGCTTCGGCATCCCAGTCGTTGTGGACGAATCTAGGGGCCTTAATCATTCGAATAGGGTGTTTTTTGGGGCTATAGGATAATTTTTAAGGGACCATAAGGTACAACTATTCGTAGTCATTCCGACCCCCATGCTAGCCCTAAACCCTAAACCCTAAACCCTAAACCCTAAACCCTAAACCCTAAACCCTAAACCCTAAACCCTAAACCCTAAACCTTAAACCCTAAACCCTAAACCCTAAACCCTGCATGTCGGCGCTGTGCTTGTCTCGTTCTCTCTCCCCCCCCCCCCCCCCGCCAGGAGCTTCGTGCCGCAAAGCCGACGATCCAGCAGCAGTTTGCGGACCTGAAGCCACATCCTCACACGGGAAGAGGGTTTAGGGTTTAGGGTATAGGGTATAGGGTTTAGGGTTTAGGGTTTAGGGCTAGGGTTTGGGGAAGTTGGGAAATGATCCCACATGCTGGTGTTAGGGGCTGTTAGGGGTTTGGTTTCGTGTTTCCGGCTTGGGATTTACAGATTCGGGTGCCGAAAATGAGTCGGCCCTCCTGGGCAGCCAGGTTAGCCCAAGTGGGACTAATACTGGGATGTTCCCCCTTATACTAACAGTCCTTAATACGGGTTATATTAGGGAGTACTATAATCCCTATGAAGGACCCCAAGACTAAGATGTCGACAGCCTGCACGGTGCGTTTTGCATTGCTTTCTGAAGCCGAAAGGTTGGCCTCATGTTGCTGTTAGCCCTTCTTGTCACACACTGCTACCCAGAGAGCCCAATACCACTTAATTAAGGAACAAAGCTTAAATGACAAAGGGAACCTTATTATGATTTAAGGCGTATTCCTTAGTTAAGGGGTATTGGGCTCTTTGGGTATGGCCTCGTTGTTGTGTCTGGCCAAGCAGAATTTCAGACATTTTGGAGACCACGCTGTCTGGAAAAGATCCACACTGTGACAATCCGAGAGCCGAAGCCAACTAGACCTGGACCCAACGACATCTGAAGAGAAAAGACATCAAAACCCTCTGCTGCAAAACCTGAGCCCCTCCCTTGCATCTCCACCTTCGGTTGCACTGACGCTGCTCCTTCTATATGCTGAGGCGTGAGCTGGCAACCGTCAGCAACGAGGTACCACGCACCCGCGGATTCCATAAATCCGGTTTTTTCGACCGGGTTTCATGGTTTCGCTTTGTGTTTGTTTCTGGAGGACTTCAGGGATGCAGCTGGCCCTAAACCCCAAACCCTAAACTCTAAACCCTAGGGGTTTAGGGTTTAGGGTTTTCAGACTGCCCAACTCAGAAGGACTCAGCTAGGGTTGCTGAAAACCTGCAAAGGCCGAAGCCCTAACGCGATTCAGGGTGACCGCATCAGTTTGATCCTGCCGAATACCTTCCGGAACAGTAAACACAACTGGTGGGGTTGGGATCGAAAGTACGCGCATTCCGCATTTGTCCTCCAAGGCTACGCTCCAGCACCCCGTTTTGCAGTCAATACCCAGGTCCTTCAAGCTAGGGAGAGCGAGCCACTTGTGAGATTTAAGGCTTCTTTATGCATCATGGAATCCCTGTACAACCCGAGACGGCAAAAGCCACGATGGCAGGAGTGGGAAGGCATCCCGGAAGCTCAAGAGCACTTGAAGGCCAACGTGCTTCATGTTTTGCATGGACTTCTTTCTCAAAACGGCTTGGTAGAGATAAGGCTTGGAGCCGAAACTGGACAATACTTTAGTTGTGTGGGCATGTGCAGCTTCTTGCCAATAGTCATGCTCTTCCGACAGCCGCTGTCCAACGCGTCAGCTGAAGTAGTGAGCCTTATACTTATACAACTGGAAGGTTTTTTTTGTCAAAGTCTAGCTGGGGCCTGACTGAGCCACGCCTCGGAACTGACCCCTACCACTGGGGAGCGTAGAATTGTGGACCCTCGATTGGCCCTGCAGGTCAAGCAGAGGAAGTCCTCCAACTTCACGTGGCTCGGGCATGATATTCAAGCTTGGCATGGTTTTGGATCGCCCCAAGGGTGTACAAGGAGATGTAGAAGTTTACGAATATAAGGGACCCCAATATCGACCCCCACATAATAGGATCCCCTTATAATAAGGATCCCAATAAGCTACCCTCAATACAGGAAACCCCCATGTAGGGATCTGAACACCCCGAACCTCCAACCCAGCAACTCGCAAAGTGTCCCAGACTTGGGTGACCTTGCGCTTGCCTCGTCTTGTCCGAGGGTTTAGGGTTTAAGGTTTGGGGTAAAGAGTTTCGAAATGCTCGCCGAAGGGATGGGCGGTATCGTTAAAGAGGTAGAGGGTTCAAGTGTAGATCGAGGAACCGCTTCGTTGGAGTTGGGAGTGCAATATTTGTTCGAAGCGTCTCAACATCTCTGAACTTCTGAACCCGCTAGAAACCCCATGCTTCGTGAAGGCTAAGACATCCAAATTACAAGTCCCGAAATGTCTTTTTCACTGCCAGGCCTACGCCTGATGCCTTGCTTGCCGGCATGGCCAGCGGCCGTGGTGTCAGTGCCGGGCTTTAGCTGGAGTTCTTCCGTGGCAGTGTTGCTTCCACTTCGCATCAACCTTCCGGGTTTAGGGTTTAGGGTTCAGGGTTTAGGGTTTAGGGTTTAGGGGAATCTGCATGGTTGTGCAAGGTCTCCAGACCTCTGCCCCTAGACCAGGAGCTTCGTGTTGTTCCTCGTCGTAACATCCTAGAATTGAAGCTCACCAGTGAGACCATGTGAGACCCATTTGCTACCGGCCCTTGCCCCGATTGTAAAGCCAACTTTGGGCAATGGAATAGCTGAGCTGTTAACTCTAATTTGGTCAGCTTTGCCAAGCTTGTCAGATTCTCGCAACGGTGTTATTGCATGTTATCGCACTGAGAGTGCCGGCCTGCAAAACCATACCGATAAGGACGGCTCTATATATGACTACCTTCATGGTGGTCCCTAGGGCCTAGTCGGCCGATGCAGTCAACCGTATGGTCCTCTGCGGGAGAATTGCAGCATATGCAAACGTATCAAGCTACTGAGGCTGAGCTCCTACGCGCAAGGACAGGTAGTCAGAGCGTCAATTTTAGGAGGACCGTCTAAGTCCCGAGACTCAATTCTCGGATCCCAAATCCTAAGAATGCCTTTTCTGCAGCAGATGAGCGGTTCGGGTTGGGGCTCATCAAGTCCATAACGTGGGCCCAACTCCCAAATCCTAAGCTGAAGCTTGCCGAGCTCCAGGCTTAGGTCTGAAAGGCTTGTGGCCGTTTGAGCGAAAGTTTGCAGATCAAATAACGTTAGGGTTCATTTGGCTTATAGATAGGGTTTACAGGGTCTATAGTGGGTTGTAGGGTTTATGGGTTTATAGGGTTTTTGGGCAGGTGCTGGGCGAACTTCCGGTCGACCACTGCTTTTCTCTCTGCCCAGGTGGCTCGGCCACGCCCATGGGAGGTTCGGCAACACCCATGGGAGGCAACGGGGTTCAGGGTTTAGGGTTTAGGGTTTAGGGTTTAGGGTTTAGGGCAGACTGCCCCCCCCCCCCCCCCCCCCAGAGGGCCGAAGAAAAACTCCGGGAGCTGCTGAGAACCCACTCCTGAATCCAATGTGGCCCCGTTTTTGCCAAGTCCAACCCCTGAAGTGCTCCTCTAAACCCTAAACCCTAAACCCTAAACCCTAAACCCTAAACCCTAAACCCTAAACCCTAAACTCTAAACCCTAAACCCTAAACCCTAAACCCTAAACCCTAAACCAAGCATCAAGCTTCAAACCCTGAACCCTGAACCCTAAACCCTAAACCCTAAACCCTAAACCCTAAACCCTAAACCCTAAACCCTAAACCCTAAACCCTAACCCCCCCTGGACTGCTGATCGCGTGGCTGAAAGGGGTGGAAGGGAGCTCGCGTCTGATGTTCCGAAGTCCGAAGACCCCACGTGTTAGACCATGAAAGTCCCGGAGATCAAACCTTAAACCCTAAACCCGAAACCCTACATGCAGAAGCGCTTTGGGGGGTCATAGCTGCCGAAGCTCATTGCTTCCCCCCACAAAATCCACACCCCCCCCCCCCGTCCCCAAAACCCCCAAACCACACCTCTGCGGTGCAAGGGTTGGGACCGGAAAACCCTAAACCCTATACCAACAACCCTAAACCTACGCACCGTGTGACAGCTTTGAGGAACCTTTATCAGCAAATGGTTCAAAGACCCCGCAGCTACTAGCTGCTACTAAAGCCTTCGGGCCAAAAAAGGCGTTGCCAATCAGGCTATGCAGCTGCAGATGGGCAGTGGATATTGGGGCAGCAGCGTGTTTCTTCTAGGGTGAGGCGAACCAAGTTGCCGTGTAAACCGCATCCGCACTTTGAATCGTTCAGCCCTTAAACCCCGGCGGCCTAAACCCTAAACCCTAAACCCTAAACCCTAAACCCTAAACCCTAAACCCTAAACCCTAAACCCTAAAGCTTTCACCCCCCGAATCCCGGACATGACCAGGCTTCGGAACACCCATGGGCATGAGAACGCCCATGGGAGGCCGGCTGCACCGCAAGATCCGCCCGGGTTCGGATGTGCTTCTCTCATCCAAAAGGAGAAGTCGTAGAGCCCCGCCTTGCGTAGCGTTTAGGGTTTAGGGTTTAGGGTTTAGGGTTTAGGGTTTAGGGTTTAGGGTTTAGGGTTTAGGGGTTTAGGGGTTTAGGGGTTTAGGGGTTTAGGGGTTTAGGGTTTAGGGTTTAGGGTTTAGGGTTTAGGGTTTAGGCACCCCACTCCCCACACTCGATGCCCAAAAATGATGCTGAACTCGCGCAGCCCGAAGTGCTGAACTTTGGGGTCGGGCAGGTAGCTGTAGGTTTTCGTGCGTAAACTTTTGGCCTGGCATTTGAGGCGAATTGGTTAGGCTTTTGCGGACTTTGTTTGGAAGACGTTTGAAAATGAGAACACGGACTTGAGCAAGCCTTATTACAGTTCACAGATGACAAGAGTAATGCGGAAACTCAGAAGCCCAGCAGGCTTTGAGCTGACTCTTTGGCGGCGCTAAACGGGCTAGGGATCTGACAGCTCCATGCCGACAGGCATGCGCTCGCCGATGGGTTCGCAGCTTAACTCTCGTCTTGCTTCAGTGCACCTGGATTGTTGCAGTTGCATACGAGAGGCAGCTAACGAAAGCATACTTCGTCCCATGCTCCAAAAGACCTACAGAGATGCGCCCGGATTGTACGAAGGGGGAGGGCCCCTGATTTCCGCGATGAAGAGGGTTCCGGGGTTTAGGGTTCAGGATTCAGGTGTTTGTGCCTTATATGGCTTCTTGGTCTGAATGTCTAGTGCTGCAAAGCAAAGCCGTAGCTCTTAAGACCTGGTTGCCCTTGAGCTTACCCTGCCGTGCATCATCGTTGTGGGTCACAGCACGAAGCCTATGCCCAAACTGACTTCTTCAGGTTATGACGCACCATGGCCTAAGTGAAACGCGGGGTGCGGGAAAGCCAACTTTTCCGTCTCATTGCAGAGGAGGTGCCCAGCCGGCGACAAAAGCTAAATCCTAAAGCATGCGGTTGGACCGAGGCCTGCGCACTCCAATGGGATTGAGGCGGCTTCAGCTTCTTTTGCAATTTTTAGTTTTCGTGTTATTATTATTATTATTATCATTATTCTTATCATTATTATGATATTTTTTTTTTGGGGGGGGGTTGTATCATGGTTGACTTGGGGGCTCATGTTGTGGTTGCTTCGGGTTGTCAAGTTAAGGTCTGACCTTAGAGCTTGCAGCTGTAAGGTTTTTTGCCATTCATTGGGAGTTTCATGCGGCAATCGTGGATGTTTGGGCGAAGCCTGCAACGCTGAGCTGGTCATGTAAGGTTCACTTTTCATGCTTACTAAAGAAGGCAAGGGGCCGTGAACAAACAAGTGAACAGACCAGAGTTGTTACGTGAAGAAGCACTTGACGACGGGTGGTTTCAGCACAATCAATCGGGATGACTACCGACCGATGGGCACTGATTGGGACAATTCTGGACTCCAATAGGTACGCTAGTAAAGTAAGACAGCTTTACTTCCAACAAGCCCCCACCAACCTACCCAAACCCCTCACACACACACCCACACACACTAACAAAGTCAGGACTCCGATGGGTCTGCGCTCGCCCATGGGCTCGGCCACACCAATGGGTCGGGCCTGACTCGGTTGGCTGCGAGGGTGTTTCTCAGGACTTCCACTATAGGGACAGCAACCCCTACATATCCCTACGTGTGTCTCTTGGAGCTTCTGAGCTTAAGCTTGTCCGCGCCCTGTACTTGGATGAAGACGCTCAATCTTGTCATATTTTAGAGTGCAGTCCCCCGATTGCCAGGCATGCACACGCCCATGGGCATGGCCACTCCCATGGGCATGGCAACGCCGATGAGCGGAATGCCGTGAGCTCGGGAAGGTTGTTTGGGTTCTTGAGGTTTCCAGCTGTGTTTGACAGCTGGGGCTGCATGCGGGAATACGTGATGTGGGACTTAACCGCGCTGCAGGAGGTCATCATGCATAGCTTATGATCCTTGTAAACATTCTGCAGCACGCATGTCACCCCCCCAGACCTAGGCCCTAGGCCCCAGCAACCCGACATCCCAAGCCTGAATCCCTCAACATCCCTTTTGCAAGAAGCAATGTTCAGCGGCCGGCTTCAACGCCAGAGAGGGTTCTGTTAAATCCTGACGGTTCTCTTGTTTCGGTGACTGCGGCTTGGTTGAGAGTCATGGAATTGAGGCCAGTTACATGCTGCAACTGAGGGGAACGCCCATGGCGCACACGCCCATGGCGCACACGCCCATGGCCCCGCTCTGAGGTCAGACTGTGGAAGCATAGGCTGCGTAGAGTTTCTTTCGCAAGAGACAAGCACAACCGCTCAACATCACACCAGTACCTGAATATACGTGGATATACGTGGATCATACGACATGGCATGGAGTGCATCACAGGAGAAAGGGGCTTGCTCAGCCAGAGCGTTACATTGCGTTACATTACATTGCATTACATTGCATTACATTGCATTACATTGCATTACATTGCATTGCATTGCATTACATTGCATTACATTGCATTACATTGCATGACATTGCATTACATTGCATTACATTGCAGTACATACACACACACACACACACACACAAAAGGACCGGGGCGAACATGACAATGCACACGGCAAGAGCAACATGTCTGCAAAACCTCGATCCATGCGAGCCCATGCACATCATGTCATGAAGAACAAGATGGAGAACAAGAGGTTACGCCCCGACGTAGACCCCGCTAACAGCGTAAAACTCTCCAATTGACAACTCTCCAATTGACTTCAATTGAGCGCTCCAAGATGAAGCACTCCAGTTTGATATTCCGCACGAACCTGCACTAAGTGCCCTCTCCCATTGAGAGCATCCCCCTGACAGAACTCCAATTGCCAATTGAGCATCCCAATCGAGCACCCGGGGCCAGGCATGGGAATTCCGGACGTCCTCAGATTTGCATTTCGAAGAAGACCAGCAGTCCACAAGCGATGACCGATCCACATTTCACGAGCCCAGAAGTCGCACAGCAACGAGAGTTCATGTTGCGAGCCCAGAAGTCCAACAGCGGCAGAACCTCCGAATTGTGAACCTCCAACAGCTTGCCTCAACACGCGAAAATCCCTGTTGAACAAAGCCAAAAGTGCTGCGCCTGGCAATGAAAGACATGTCGGCAGTCCTCAAGAACTTCGCGGCCACGCGCGCGCCTAGGCGGGAGCACGGTTTGCGACCAAAATGCGAGCAGGCCTCGAGAAAAGTGCCCGCACGAACACCCAAGATCAAATATGACAATAAGGTTTGTAGCACCCCCAAATAGAGATCTTAATGGGCGCCATTACGACACTGTTTACAATACAAACTGCCAAAAGTTTTCAGGCTGCATGCTTCCTTATAGTTTAATTGTATAAACTTGTGAATACAATGAGTGAAGTGAATAAGAGAATGAACAGATTTAGCATTAGAACATGACTTCGCTAATTTAATGATCGCGAGCTCGTTTATTTTCCTTTTTTTTTTTCTCGAAAATTGCCTGCGTACGAAGGTAATAATATGACTACGGGCGCGTAAGGAACAAAGCCATGATAAAAAGGTAGAAAAGGGCCCTTAATTAGTGTATTTTATGTGTGGCCCTTTTCACCCCTCAATAAAAATTAAGAATGAAAGAGAAGGGCAAACATGATTAAACATGCTGATACATGTGGATATCTGGAAGACTGGGAGTCTTTTTGCATGAGTTGCTCATGCCGTGACACTGGCTGCCACGTACGCGGTATTGTGAAGTGTGTGCAAGAGAACACGCCACCGTGCTGCCAAAGTATCTGAGTACAAGGCCCCGGCTTTGCAATAGCAGCTTGTGAAAGCGGTTCTTTCCAAACCGATTTGAACCAAAAAGTCATACATGCATCTATATTTACATTTACATCGGTTTAGACACGTTAGCAGACATCTTGGCGGATATCCTAGATCAGACGAGGAACCAAGAGCTTCGTTGCAACTCAACTGCCTTTGCCCAGGGCATGCGAACCCCAATGGGCATGCGCACCCCTATGGGCATGGCCACGCCTATGGGATCAAGGCCGATTGTTCACGCCGGGCTCGAACGTTTTCGGGGTTTACAAATGGAGCTGGGCGCTTGATTCTATGTTACTGTTGTTTTAAGGTTGCCAGTGCTTGCCAGGCAAGGGTATGGGTAAGTTCCTGACAAGTCATGAAGTTGAGGCATGATGACCGGATTTTGCAAACAGTTTCTTTGTACGATCTTCGATTTAGGCCTTAAACGAAAGTCTCAACTTTAGAGCCTCAAACCCCATGTCCACCGCTTTCGGCGGAAATCTATCAACGGCCAGTCGCCGTATGGCAAGCTCTTAGGATCGCTTAGGCTTCTTGCTTGAGATTCATGAAAGAATGGGCAGAAGCCTGGGTAGTCGAATGGCTGGACATGCGCGCATGAAGACTCACGTGAGCAGGACGCCCCACGGTGGAATGCGAACACCAGGTGGGTCCGTGTGACTTCAGTGTAGCAGAACTCCAGAGTTACCCCATTTGTTTAACCCACAATCTCCAATCTCAAGATGGACAACCCTACATACCCTAGCCCATCCGTCGCAAAAACCCAGAACTTATTCTTGACCCAAAGGCTGGTCAAAATATGCTACGTAGACGCCGATATTGCAAGGGCCTTTGCAGCATCATGCTCCGGATGCACTGATCAAGCCAATCCCTGGGAGCGTCTTGCGATGTAACTCTAAGGACTACAAAGCGCCGCAAACGCGCACACTCATGCAAATCCCCCCGAAGCCTTGCAGGCATGCGAACACCGGGCTACGGCACTCCTCATACGTGCTGGCCTTAAGGATGAGGAGCATATGTATCTTAAGAATCTTGAAGGCTGGCTCGAAGTATCACGTCTGGGTCACAATTGGACCCTGAACCCTAACCCTAAACCCTAAACCCTAAACCCTAAACCCTAAACCCTAAACCCTAAACCCTAAACCCTAAACCCTAAACTCCAGGGTCTGGTCGTGGGTGCCTTCGTGTAGTATACGGGCCTGCCAAGGCCGATGA